TCTATCTATCTATCTATCTATCTATCTATCTATCTATCTATCTATCTATCTATCTATCTATCTATCTATTCATCCATCCACCCATCTATCCAGCCATCTGTCTGTCGATCAGTCCATCCATCAATCAATCCATCCATCCATCCATCCATCTATCCAAACACCAACCCGTCCATCCATCCATTCATATGCCCATCCATCAGTCCATCTGTCCATCCATCCATCCATCTACCAATCCATCCATTTATCTACCAGTCTGTCCGTCTGTTCATCCATCTATCAATCTGTCTGTCCATCCATCCATCCACTCATCCACTCATCCATCCATCCGTCCATTCATCCATCCATCCATCCATCCATTCATCTACCAATTCATCCGACCATCCATCTACCAATCCGTCCGTCCATCCATCTATCCACCAACCTGTCTGTCCATCCATCCATCTGTTCATCCATTCATCCAATACACCCACCCACCCATCCATCCGTCAGCCCATCAATCCATCCATCCATACACCCACCCACCCATCCATCCATCAATCCGTCCATCCATCCACCCACCCATCCATCAATCTGTCCGTCCATCCATCCATCCATCCATTCATTAATCCGTCGATCTATCTACCCACCCATCCGTCCATCCGTCCATCCATCCATCCTTCAGACAAGCAGATACTTAACTGTGTTATAATAAAGTTTGTTCTCTCTCTGTTTAGAGGGAGCGACGATTAGAAGCAGAGCGGCAGCGTCTGGTTGAGGAGGAGCGTCTGAGGAACCAGATGACGGCACGTAGGGCTCAAGCAGAGGCAGAGAGGAAGCACCAGGAGCGTCTGGCCCAGCTCGACCAAGAGCAGAAGGAGAGAGAGCAGGCAGAGCGGGATGAGACACAGAGGAAAAAGGAGTTTCTGGAGCAGATGGAGAGAGAAAAACAGGAGCCAGTCAACGACTCTGACATGGTGGACAAGATGTTCGGATTCCTGGGCAGCGCCAACTCTCTTCCCAACCTGGAGGGTGAAGCACCAGAAGGGTTTGAGGTGCAGGACTTTATGACTATTAATCTCTGTAATTTACCTTGCCTGGCTTTCACATTATCTTAGTTTGATTTTGTTTGGATGTAACAGGATCTTGAGAAAGTTCCCAGACAGTTTGAGAAAGTCATTGATGAACCTCTTCCACTTCCTGATGATGAAGAGGAAGACCTATCAGAGTATACATTTGCAAAGTTTGCTGCAACCTACTTCCAGGGAAATGCCACACATACGTATATACGGCGGCCACTGAAACAACCTCTGCTGTTTCATGAGGATGAAGGAGATCAGCTAGTATGCTTTTATTATTTGTTTAAAAGTAGTATTTATACTAATAATATAGATTATTAGATGTGTTATTGTTTACAGGTTTACTGTTTAATATTTACACTGCTTTGCCCATATCATATGTGACCCTGGACCACAAAACCAGTCTTAAGTTGCACTGCTATATTTGTAGCAATAGCCAAAAATACATTGTATGGGTCAGTATTATCGATTTTTCTTTTATGCCAAAAATCATTAGGATATTAAATAAAGATCATGTTCCATGAAGATATTTTGCAAATTTCCTACTGTAAATATATCAAAACTTAATTTTTGATTAGTAATATGCATTGCTAAGAACTTAATTTGGACAACTTTAAAGGCGATTTTCTCAATATTTAGATTTTTTTGCACCCTCAGATTCCAGATATTCAAATAGTTGTATCTCAGCCAATTCTCGTCAATTTCGAAAAATTTACACTTATGACTGGTTTTGTGGTCCAGGGTCACATATTAAGTTTTTTTATGTCTGTAGGCTGCTCTGGCTGTGTGGATCACTGTTTTGAGGTTTATGGGAGATCTCCCTGAACCCAAATATCATATCAGCATTAGTGACGGCAGTGAGAAGATTCCAGTTATGACTAAAATCTATGAGACATTGGGGAAGAAGACCTACAAAAGGGAGCTGCAGGCCCTGCAGGTGGATGATGAGGTGAGACAAGTGAGGTGGTGGGTGTTGTGAAAATGAGAATTAATCTTCACATCATCATTATTAATCATATAATAAAACACAAACATTGAACAAACATAGTACTCATATTGTACTTAACAGTGTATTTCTAAATTAACATTAACATAGACTAGTAAATACTGTCAAAAATCAATTGTTGTTCTTTGTTAGTTATTGACACCAAAGGCAAAAGCTAATGTTAAATTAAACCTTAGTGTAAAGTGTTGCTGCTATGACATCTAAGAAAGTTTCTTTATTGTTTCCAGAGTTCCACTGCTGACATCCAGAAGAGGAACAGCATACGGCATAAGCTGGTGTCCCTCACATTAAAGAAAAAATCAAAGATCACAGAGGAGGTCTGTAACAGTTAATATTTTTGTGAAAACCATGATACTGTACTTTTTTCAGGATTCTTTAATCAGTAGAAAGGTAACAGAATAATATGTATTTAATATAAAAATATTTCGTAATAGTATAAATCAGTATAATTTATCTTTGTTGAATCAAAGTAAACTATTCCTGCCTCTGTTAGGTGACCAGACGGCTGACCGACAGCGATTACAGTCTGCAGGGAAACAGCATGCTGGAAGACCGGCCCACCTCCAATTTAGAAAAGCTCCACTTTATCATTGGCAATGGCATATTACGCTCTGCTCTCAGGTCAGTACATGGCAAATGCATAATAGTTGGTATACTAGAGCTGTTGAATGTGCATTTCATCTGAATTATATTGTATCTGGGTTTGTTTCCTCTGACAGAGATGAGATCTACTGTCAAATCTGTAAACAGCTGAGCCAGAATACATCCAAAAGCAGCCATGCCCGTGGCTGGATCCTGCTGTCCCTCTGTGTGGGCTGCTTTGCTCCTTCCGAAAAATTCATCAAAGTAAAAAAAAACTACGTATTTTTTATTTTTGGTCTAGTCAGCAGGAAATAAGATTGCATGCATTTTTAATGATCCTAATGATCCTAAACCCAAAAAAAATCAAATGTATCATTCAAATCTGGCCTCATTCTTTTTCCCCCATTTCATTTCTTTATCTACAATTTCTCTAGTATCTGCGGACATTCATTAACAGCGGTCCGCCTGGTCATGCGCCTTATTGTGAGGAGAGACTGAGAAGAACATTTGCGAATAAGACTAGAACCCAGCCTCCTTCTTGGCTTGAGCTGCAGGTATTTTAGGACCCACAGAAGCCATTAGATTTCACTTTTGGGAAAATTCATTGGAAAAGATGAATTAATTGGCTGGATCTCTTTTTTTTCCTCCTCCAGGCCACTAAATCTAAGAAACCCATCATGTTGCCAGTGACCTTCATGGACGGCACTACAAAGACCCTGCTCACTGACTCCGCCACCACAGCCGAAGAGCTCTGCTATGCTCTGTCAGACAAAATCGGCCTGAAGGATCGCTTTGGCTTCTCTTTATACATTGCTCTTTTTGATAAGGTATGTTAATACATATATTTTAAGATATTTTAAAATGTAATTTATTCCTGTGATGGCAAAGCTGAGTTTACTGTAGCCATTATTCAAGTTTTCAGTGTCACATGATCCTTCAGAAATCATTCTAATTTGCTGATTTGGTCTCAGGAGACATTTTTATCAACGTTGAAAACTGTTTTGATTAATAGAACGTTCAAAAGAACAGCACATATTTGAAATAGAAAATGTTTAAATGTCTTTACTGTCACTTTTAATCAATTTAATGCATCCTTGCTGAGTACAAGTATTTATTTCTTTAAAAAAAATAAATACAACCCCAAACTTTTGATCAGTGTGTATCCTTATTTTTTCGGTCCAGTTTAAGACCCTCATAATGTGCATCCTCCTCAGGTTTCATCACTGGGCAGTGGGAAGGATCATGTGATGGATGCTGTGTCACAGTGTGAGCAATATGCTAAAGAGCAGGGTGCTCAGGAGCGCAATGCCCCCTGGAGGCTGTTCTTCAGGAAGGAAATCTTCACGCCCTGGCACAACCCTGCCGAGGACAGCGTGGCCACTAACCTCATCTACCAGCAAATCGTGCGCGGGGTCAAATTCGGGGAGTACCGTTGTGATAGGGTGAGAGCTGCTGTGAACATATTTCACATTGCCTTATAAAGTTAGCTGACTTGTGTTAACCAAGTGTACGTATGTGCTGTATCATTTCAGGAGGAGGACCTGGCTGAGCTGGCCTCTCAACAGTACTATGTGGACTATGGGTCAGAAGTCCTACCAGCCCGTCTTCTGAGTCTTATTCCATCCTACATACCAGACAGAGAAATTACTCCCTCCAAGACAGTGGGAAAATGGGCACAAATGATCATAGCAACTCACATAAAGGTACACATTTGTAGTTTTAATACATACATTTTTTGTTGAGTTACTAATATTTTATTTAATATAAAATTAATTATAATTGTATATTATTGTTGTATAATTTTTAATATACATATATTATATTTAGTGCTGTCAATCGATTAAAAAATTAACTAATTAATCGCACATGTTTTTCTGAAATTAATCACAATTAATCACATCTTTTTATGGCGAGTATCACTGATACCGATACTACTGATGTTTCTAGGAAATTGTTCTTTTTTTTTATTTAACCATTGACTATGTAATGTTGACTATACTAACATTACAATATAATTGAGAGCTATCAATTTTAACATTTATTAGACTTTAAAAAATAACAACTTCTAATTTAAGTGAACTTAAAACAATCTTCACATAAATCCATTATAATAAATGTCATTTACCTGTGCCCTTCAGCAAGTAGGCAATATACAGAAATTGAATAAGGTTATCAAACACTAAATACTAAATTAAATACAGATGAATCCTTAAAGTTACAAAAGTTATTGATTTCCTTTTTTTCTTTTGTTCTTTGATTTACAGACATCACAGCAGCTGGGTTATTAGCTTATTTGGCTGCTATTACTTTAAGAGCTGCCGCTGCTGAACGTGACGCAAATCTGACACGTATGCTTGTAGTTTCATTCGCGCTTTAATATGAAATGATACAGACTACAGTATGCGCCACCGTATTTGTGCATGCAATTGAAGAGTATACAGTATAACAACTGACAGGACAGGAAAATTTGTTTTTACTGACCTATGCCCTAACAAAATCTCATCTGACCGCAGTTCACTGTTGCTCTACTGAAGATCCCCATCACCTGTACAATTTCCGCGCTCGTTTGAGTAGCGCCTTTCGCTGAGGCGAATGAAGTGTGCGTCTAAAAAGTCTACCATTTGATGTGGTCGTAAAGATGTTAATGCATCTAAATAAACGCAATTCTTGTCAAGAAAAACAGACAGAAGCAGCAGTTGTGAGTGGGGTGGCCAACACTAGCTACGCCACTGCATTAACTGCGTTAAATATTTTTAACACCGTTAAACTGGAAAAATTTATCTGCTGCGTTAACATGCTAATTTTGACAGCACTAATTATATTACATTATTATATTATATTATATTATGTGCATTTTTGTTGTATAATTTAAATATGCAGTTTCTACTTTTAAAATGTATTTATTCAAGTTATAAGTATAAAAATTAGTATAACCAAACATACTGTGACATTGAAATAATATGCCATTTTAGAGTTAGAGTTAATAACAATAAGTAACTTTTGGTAGTTTTCAGATTTGTAATAGCATATTTAGAACAGGCATAAAATGTCAAGAATTAGCCCATGAAAAACACACTAATCTGAATATTAGGTGATTGTCCAATGTCAGTGATGGCTGGAGGTGGAGAAATGGAAAAATATTTAGGCACAAATGTCATTTTCTGAGAATGGGTTCACATTTACATGATAGAACAGCACATATAACTGAACAAATCTATTATTAACCTTTCATTATAGCCAAACGTTCAGTCACAGCACATACCTACGCCTATGTCTTCATTACTTTGTCAGGCTGTGTCTGACTGACCCCGCGATACGTTCTCAAGGACGGCAGTCTCATTATCTTAGAGCAGTACCTGTATCTCCACCTAGCGCTAATATGATCTCACAACTATGATTAACTCTTTAATCTAAGTGTGTGCCAGGGGCGACCTTCACACCGTCTACCACCCTCACCCACAGTCTGCCGTAAAAGAATGCAATCACAGGCCCCTGAATATTTGAGACAGTTCTTTTGGCCTCACTATCATGTTATGGGTTTGTAGTTTAGGTTAGCACTCTGCGCTAGCTCGTAGCGGTTGATGGACTAAGCAGGTTGAAATTTGATTGACGGTTCCTGTGAGAACATTAATCACGTTCCTTCTCTCAAGGGTGAAGGCCGTTTTAATTACCCTTCTGCCTTTCATAGGCTAAAGTGATGGACATGAATGTTTAATAATGCTGGAGATCAATTTTATGGATTGTGGTAATGCATGAGTTTGTTACATTTTATGCTTATAACCAGGTGACGAGAGCAAAGGTAATTGTCTCTGAGGTAATCAGCGATACTGTGTTACTATGAGACCAAGATATTGACGATTGCATCTCCACAGGGAATCTACACACAGAAGAGGTTTGATTCGCAGAGAGTGAAGGAGGAGGTGGTGGATTTCGCTCGATTTAAGTGGCCTTTGCTTTTTTCTCGCTTCTATGAGGCCTTCAAATTCTCAGGTAAGACTTACAGAGAATAGTTCACCCCAAAAATAAAAATTAAATCAGTGAATGGGTCAGACAGAACTTTTGACCAATCATTCAGACCAGTTTTGTGAACCGAATGAATTGTTTCATTGAAAAGATTTGATTTATTTGCAAATAAATGCTGCTACTTCAATCATGAACTCTCAGCAAGACTCCAAGGAGAAATGGGCAGATATTAATTATATTATATTATATTATATTATATGAATTTTTATTAGCATTTTTTTTACAACCAGAATTTATTCAGATTGAAATAATAATTTAATTTAGGGTTAGAAAATATTTTAAGATAGTTTTTTTTTAATTGGGAATAATATTTTAACAATTAGCCAGTGGGATTTTTGGTTGGTAATCTGAGTAGTTGGTGGTTCTCCAATGTCTGTGGTGATTACAGCCCTGGGACATTGGATTTGAGGTTGGAAAATTCTAAAAAAATATATATATATTTTGATGTAAAATGTAAAAATTCTGACATTTTTAACAAAAACCATTTCCTGAGAATGGGTTCATCATTAATTACTAGAGGTGAAACGGTACACAGATGTCACGGTTCGGTACATACCTCGGTTCGGGGGTCATGGTTCGACACGATTTCGGTACAACAGGAAAAAAAATTAATTTACTATGCTCGGTTTCTTTTCATTTATTTTGAACAGACAGCAGTACAAATGAATTTTCTTCCACCTAGATGTGAAAATACTAAATATTATTATATTATGTTATATATATATAAAATCTGCAGTACATATACATACAAGAAATAAATTCTTGAAATATATTTGATTTAGTTTACAGATAAACAAGAGAAAAAAACATTGCGACACGTAATGTAGCCTATATATGCTGAGTTTCAGTTCAGTTTCATTTTTCATTGTGAGTGTACACAAATAAAAGCAGACCTTTATACAGTGATGCATTATTTATTAATAAGACAATAAGTGTTTAAAGTTGATTCTGCTGGTATAAGGAAACAGTTAAAGTGATCGCGCCGGCGCACACCCACACACACATATACACACACACACCCATCCATCAGTTCCAGTATTGCTAACTTGACAGAGCAGTTGGTACTTTATCAAAATAAAATACAGTGCACCAAACATCAGCGCACCTGCCTGTGTCACCGTTGGAAGTACAAAGCCTATAATTTACATAATAAATAATAGTTTAGCATTCAGATACGTTACATCGCACATATGGAAATATTATGGAATATTTGGATTTGTGCCGAATGAGAGAGGTAGGATACATGAGCACAAAGCTCCATTTCGCGAACAGTTGAGTGCACAAGCCTTTAAAGTATAATCCTTTGTCAGTCTGTGAGAGACGCATTCAGAATCAGCACATGGTCACTGTCTAGTGGGCTTTGTTTTCAAGTGCGCAACTCATGGCATTCGCTGTTCTTCTGCTGGCGGCCGGTTATCAAACAGCATTGCATTGCTGCAGGCACCCCTTTCTGGATTGGGAGTGAATTGCCTGTATTCGTTGTAAGGTCTCATGCACCGAACCGAGATGTCTGTACCGTGACGGTTCGGTACGAATACATGTATCGTTCCACCCCTATTAATTACATAATGTAAAAACATAAAACCAAGCAAATCTAGTATTTACTTGTTCATTTATAAGTCAAAATGTTGAGATGGCTCATCAGTTTTAAATATCAGTTCTGTCATGACAACTCTCGGAGGGATTGGCATGGTAATGTACATGACAATGTTAATGTAGGCGGGAATAGATCTGCTACGCTGCTGCTACTGCGGCAGAGCAAGTCCTGGGACTTGCTACTGCCAATACATCCACAACATGCTGCTGTGAGAATGTAAGAAATATTGCTGCTGCAAATATAACATACATGAAATAACCCCCATATAGCATACATTAATCACCTCGTTGTAGATCTATACATGTGGAGCTGGGGAAGGTGGAGGGTTTCTGAAGCAAGCTGCAACTGCTACGGCAAGCACTAGTCATATATTTGAATGTTGAGCACCGAGCTCATTGGCTACCGATACAGGAGAGAACCAATCAGCTGTGCCATGTGATAATGATGTCATTAGGTCAGATTGAGTTAGACCTATCGGACTGCGCCATCTAGAGTTTCATGCCAGAACTCTGTATTTGTCATACAGACTGTTTATGTGATACTTTTATATGCCATTTTTGAAACTTTAAAACTTCTTCAAAAATGTAAAATGTCTTTCAAATTTCTTCATTTGTGTTCCATAGTAGAAATTTAGAAATTATGAACTATTCTGTTAAGATATTCTGTAAATCATAATACAAATTTGTAAGACATATTGATCTGATTGGGTATTTGGGTATGAAACTTTCAGCCTGCTGTTTCTGTTCATTTGCAGGGCCTAGTCTCCCAAAGAATGATGTTATAGTGGCAGTGAACTGGACCGGAGTCTACTTTGTGGATGAGCATGAGCAGGTCCTTCTAGACCTTTCTTTCCCAGAGATCACTGCAGTCTCCAGAATATGCCATTTTAGAGTTAGAGTTAATAACAATAAGTAACTTTTGGTAGTTTTCAGATTTGTAATAGCATATTTAGAACAGGCATAAAATGTCAAGAATTAGCCCATGAAAAACACACTAATCTGAATATTAGGTGATTGTCCAATGTCAGTGATGGCTGGAGGTGGAGAAATGGAAAAATATTTAGGCACAAATGTCATTTTCTGAGAATGGGTTCACATTTACATGATAGAACAGCACATATAACTGAACAAATCTATTATTAACCTTTCATTATAGCCAAACGTTCAGTCACAGCACATACCTACGCCTATGTCTTCATTACTTTGTCAGGCTGTGTCTGACTGACCCCGCGATACGTTCTCAAGGACGGCAGTCTCATTATCTTAGAGCAGTACCTGTATCTCCACCTAGCGCTAATATGATCTCACAACTATGATTAACTCTTTAATCTAAGTGTGTGCCAGGGGCGACCTTCACACCGTCTACCACCCTCACCCACAGTCTGCCGTAAAAGAATGCAATCACAGGCCCCTGAATATTTGAGACAGTTCTTTTGGCCTCACTATCATGTTATGGGTTTGTAGTTTAGGTTAGCACTCTGCGCTAGCTCGTAGCGGTTGATGGACTAAGCAGGTTGAAATTTGATTGACGGTTCCTGTGAGAACATTAATCACGTTCCTTCTCTCAAGGGTGAAGGCCGTTTTAATTACCCTTCTGCCTTTCATAGGCTAAAGTGATGGACATGAATGTTTAATAATGCTGGAGATCAATTTTATGGATTGTGGTAATGCATGAGTTTGTTACATTTTATGCTTATAACCAGGTGACGAGAGCAAAGGTAATTGTCTCTGAGGTAATCAGCGATACTGTGTTACTATGAGACCAAGATATTGACGATTGCATCTCCACAGGGAATCTACACACAGAAGAGGTTTGATTCGCAGAGAGTGAAGGAGGAGGTGGTGGATTTCGCTCGATTTAAGTGGCCTTTGCTTTTTTCTCGCTTCTATGAGGCCTTCAAATTCTCAGGTAAGACTTACAGAGAATAGTTCACCCCAAAAATAAAAATTAAATCAGTGAATGGGTCAGACAGAACTTTTGACCAATCATTCAGACCAGTTTTGTGAACCGAATGAATTGTTTCATTGAAAAGATTTGATTTATTTGCAAATAAATGCTGCTACTTCAATCATGAACTCTCAGCAAGACTCCAAGGAGAAATGGGCAGATATTAATTATATTATATTATATTATATTATATGAATTTTTATTAGCATTTTTTTTACAACCAGAATTTATTCAGATTGAAATAATAATTTAATTTAGGGTTAGAAAATATTTTAAGATAGTTTTTTTTTAATTGGGAATAATATTTTAACAATTAGCCAGTGGGATTTTTGGTTGGTAATCTGAGTAGTTGGTGGTTCTCCAATGTCTGTGGTGATTACAGCCCTGGGACATTGGATTTGAGGTTGGAAAATTCTAAAAAAATATATATATATTTTGATGTAAAATGTAAAAATTCTGACATTTTTAACAAAAACCATTTCCTGAGAATGGGTTCATCATTAATTACTAGAGGTGAAACGGTACACAGATGTCACGGTTCGGTACATACCTCGGTTCGGGGGTCATGGTTCGACACGATTTCGGTACAACAGGAAAAAAAATTAATTTACTATGCTCGGTTTCTTTTCATTTATTTTGAACAGACAGCAGTACAAATGAATTTTCTTCCACCTAGATGTGAAAATACTAAATATTATTATATTATGTTATATATATATAAAATCTGCAGTACATATACATACAAGAAATAAATTCTTGAAATATATTTGATTTAGTTTACAGATAAACAAGAGAAAAAAACATTGCGACACGTAATGTAGCCTATATATGCTGAGTTTCAGTTCAGTTTCATTTTTCATTGTGAGTGTACACAAATAAAAGCAGACCTTTATACAGTGATGCATTATTTATTAATAAGACAATAAGTGTTTAAAGTTGATTCTGCTGGTATAAGGAAACAGTTAAAGTGATCGCGCCGGCGCACACCCACACACACATATACACACACACACCCATCCATCAGTTCCAGTATTGCTAACTTGACAGAGCAGTTGGTACTTTATCAAAATAAAATACAGTGCACCAAACATCAGCGCACCTGCCTGTGTCACCGTTGGAAGTACAAAGCCTATAATTTACATAATAAATAATAGTTTAGCATTCAGATACGTTACATCGCACATATGGAAATATTATGGAATATTTGGATTTGTGCCGAATGAGAGAGGTAGGATACATGAGCACAAAGCTCCATTTCGCGAACAGTTGAGTGCACAAGCCTTTAAAGTATAATCCTTTGTCAGTCTGTGAGAGACGCATTCAGAATCAGCACATGGTCACTGTCTAGTGGGCTTTGTTTTCAAGTGCGCAACTCATGGCATTCGCTGTTCTTCTGCTGGCGGCCGGTTATCAAACAGCATTGCATTGCTGCAGGCACCCCTTTCTGGATTGGGAGTGAATTGCCTGTATTCGTTGTAAGGTCTCATGCACCGAACCGAGATGTCTGTACCGTGACGGTTCGGTACGAATACATGTATCGTTCCACCCCTATTAATTACATAATGTAAAAACATAAAACCAAGCAAATCTAGTATTTACTTGTTCATTTATAAGTCAAAATGTTGAGATGGCTCATCAGTTTTAAATATCAGTTCTGTCATGACAACTCTCGGAGGGATTGGCATGGTAATGTACATGACAATGTTAATGTAGGCGGGAATAGATCTGCTACGCTGCTGCTACTGCGGCAGAGCAAGTCCTGGGACTTGCTACTGCCAATACATCCACAACATGCTGCTGTGAGAATGTAAGAAATATTGCTGCTGCAAATATAACATACATGAAATAACCCCCATATAGCATACATTAATCACCTCGTTGTAGATCTATACATGTGGAGCTGGGGAAGGTGGAGGGTTTCTGAAGCAAGCTGCAACTGCTACGGCAAGCACTAGTCATATATTTGAATGTTGAGCACCGAGCTCATTGGCTACCGATACAGGAGAGAACCAATCAGCTGTGCCATGTGATAATGATGTCATTAGGTCAGATTGAGTTAGACCTATCGGACTGCGCCATCTAGAGTTTCATGCCAGAACTCTGTATTTGTCATACAGACTGTTTATGTGATACTTTTATATGCCATTTTTGAAACTTTAAAACTTCTTCAAAAATGTAAAATGTCTTTCAAATTTCTTCATTTGTGTTCCATAGTAGAAATTATTGCTGGGTGAACTATTCTGTTAAGATATTCTGTAAATCATAATACAAATTTGTAAGACATATTGATCTGATTGGGTATGATAAAGCTCAACTTTCAGCCTGCTGTTTCTGTTCATTTGCAGGGCCTAGTCTCCCAAAGAATGATGTTATAGTGGCAGTGAACTGGACCGGAGTCTACTTTGTGGATGAGCATGAGCAGGTCCTTCTAGACCTTTCTTTCCCAGAGATCACTGCAGTCTCCAGTAGCAGGTGCAGTAGCACATCCATCCAAACCCACTTCATATGCTGTAAGTGTTCTTTATATTGTAATTTTACTAGTTTTGGCCAATCTAACACATGTATGCAGAGGTGGAAAGTTGCAGGAACAGAGCTTCACTCTGGCCACCATTAAAGGAGATGAGTACACCTTCACATCCAACAATGCCGAAGACATCCGTGACCTAGTTGTCACCTTCCTAGAGGGCCTGCGTTCTAGGTCAAAGTTTGTGGTGGCCCTGGTGGACAGCCATTACCCTGGTGAGCACATGTGGACAGCAGTACTGTTTAAAAGTGCAAAGGACATAACCATTATATTTGATCTAGCCCCAAGCAGACTTTGGGTCGAGACAAGAAGGTCCAGCATAATCAATAAAACATCTAAAAGATGAACAGAAACGCTTATGTTTCTCTTTGTTTTTGCAGCTGGACATGACTCTTCGTTCCTGAGATACTCAAAGGGAGATCTGATCTTTCTGGATGAGCACACTGGAGAGCAGGTCCTGAATTCAGGCTGGGCTCACGGGGTCAATGATAGAACCAAAAAAACAGGAGACTTCCCTGCAGACAACGTCTATGTGCTGCCCACCATCACCAGGCCACAATATGATATTGTAGTGAGTGTGTTTTCATTCAGTACATTCATTGTATAATCTCCGAAAATAGTGCACTTAGAGGGAAAACTTTGTATGTTTATGTCCTCCTAAATGGGTCATAGTAGTACCTTAAGGGTACAGATTGATACTCTAAAGTGCTTGTTATGCACAAAATTGTCCCTTTAAGGGTTACAAGCTGTTGTACCCCCAAAGGTACAATTTTTGCACATTTTATTCTGACAATGTATTGTATTCACCATGAAAAATAATTTGTTCATGGTCAAAACACAAGCATTTGCACCAAAATATGCCACTAGCACTCAAGAAACACCTGAGATATCGAAGAGTCACTTTAACCTTCTACTTTCTGTTTCTTACAGTCATTGATTACCATGTCCCCAGATCAGCATAAGGACTCCATCAGTTTGTCCCATCAGAATCAGCTGGACAGTGGGGAGAAGGTTCAGCCGTACACTCTAGAGGAGTTCTCCTACGATCACTTCAGGTGTTTGAACCTTCTTCAGGACCTTTCCTCCCTTTGTTGTGTCTGAATGGAAAACTACTGTTTTAAAAGTTAAAGTTGCGAAACAAGTGCAAACAAAAAGGTTTATTATATTCCTAGAGAGGAGGAGGGCCTTAGTCAGACACCAACCAATCAGCTTCAACATCTGGCCAATAACATTCAAGGAGTAATTAAACCTAAACCTAACCCTAACCGCACCATATGTTTTTTTTTTTTAATGTCTCTGTGCCAGGCACCACACCTATGATTGTATTCTATCACTGTACACATTAATTTAATCACTTCCCTTCTTTTTCATGAAATTCTGGATTCATTAAATTTTCTGGTATCTTTTCTTTACATCCTCTAGACCGCCTTCCAAGAGCACACTGAGTCGTGTGATCCTCAATAAAGGCAGAGGGAAGGATAAACTGTGGTGTTGCACCAGAGAACCTCTCAAACAGCCTTTGCTGAAGAAAGTCCTCAATCATGAAGAGCTGTCCCAGGATGCCTGCCAGGCCTTCATTGATATCCTCTACAGCTAACATTTTGACAGTTAATAGTGTTAACTTTAGAACTGCAGTTCCCTCATCCTTGACTCTGTTGTACCTATCATGAAGTACATGGGCGACTACCCCTCGAAGAGAAGCCGCTCAGTCAATGAGCTCACTGATCAGATCTTTGAGGGAGCTTTAAAGGCTGAACCTCTGAAGGACGAAATCTTCTGTCAGATCATCAAGCAATTGACCGAGAATCATGTGAAGTAGGTTTTTCCCAGTTATTGATACAGTATACAGTATATTCTATTCTGTTACATTTATTTATTTATTTTAGGATTTTTTTAAAGTGAAAGTAACAAAAATATTTTTGAATAATAATAATATTATTATATTACTTATACTATAATATTAAATTATATAAAATAAAATAAATTATATAATTATATATATATATATATATATATATATACACATCTCTTCCATCTTTATTTGACCCTCTAACTCTAGCACTCTCATTTTTGTTATTATTATTATTATTCATTATTATTATTATTAATCATTATTATTTTTAAAGAATTTAAAAATATATATTTTAAAATTAGTGCTGGCAAACGATTAAACGCGATTAATCGCATCCAAAATAAAAGTTTTTGTTTACAAAATATGTATGTGTGTGTACTGTGTATATTTATTATGTATATGTAAATACACACACATGCATGTATATATTTAAGAAAAATATGTTATGTTTATATTTTAAATAAATGTATAGATAATATAAATTATATAAACATAAATGTATACATGTAAATACTTTCAAAATATATACTGTATGTGTGTGTATTTATATACACATAATAAATGTACACAGTACACACACATATATTATGTAAACAAAAACATTTATTTTGGATGCGATTTATCACGATTAATCGTTTGACAGCACTATTTAAAATATGGTATATCTTACTATTAATTTTATGCAATTATAAGATGTTAATATAATTTAAAAAAATATGTTTCTTTGTAGAAAAAGGTCATTTTTGCATACGTGCGATTTGGTTTTACATTTTATCTTTAATATACATGCAAATGTTTTGATAAATTATGATTCTGCGTGACATTGTTTGCTCACAGATTACAAACAGACAACGAATGAGACCCATTAATGTGAAAACAGCTAATGTGGCTCTTAAATCTGTATCAGTCTGTCCCCTAGTGGTCAGCTTGCAACTGACCAAAACTGCTTTACTCTTACAACGTTAAAATCATTGTTGACTAATGAGTCGGCTGACAGCAGTTCTGTATTGTCAGATACAGTGAGGAGAAGGGCTGGGAGCTTCTCTGGCTCTGCACTGGGCTTTTTCCTCCCAGTAACATGTTGCTTCCTCATGTCCAAAAGTTCCTGCAATCCAAGAAACAACATCCAGTCGCCCCAGACTGCATGCAGAGACTGCAGAAAGCCTTGCGGTAACCCTCAAAGCACATACTGTACAAACATGTATCTCCAATGCTGCATGGAATTCCCTTAAAACATTTTTCCTCACGGACAGAAATGGATCCAGAAAGTATCCTCCCCACCTTGTAGAAATGGAGGCCATTCAACACAAAACTACCCAAATCTTTCACAAAGTGTACTTCCCTGATGACACTGATGAGGTGAGAGTTTTCATGTTAACTCTAGGTGTGCATCTGTTACCTGTATTGTATGTTGTGTTCAGCCTCCTGTGGGGGTAATATTCTCTTTCTCTCTCATGCCCGGATGTGTTTATTTATGCATGAGGAAGCGTTGTGCTCTGACCTCAATTTGCATCCTCAATTAAGCACAGAGTTATGTGGTGCTTCTGGAGAAAATGTCAGAAGAGAGATGAAGTGTGAATAGACTCAAGACTCCAGAGATTCATTTCCTTTTTGGTTTAAATATAGCTGAAATCTGGCCTTTTTTTGGATATATAAAATAATACACACAAATGGGGTAGACAACTGACAATGCAATATAGCAAACACCAAATACATAGTCTAGCTATGTATATATAAATCAATGAATTGTAGATGACATGAAATGATATAATTTTTTTCACAGAAATGTATTTGATCATGTCTATGGTATAAAAAAGCAAATATATACAAAGATCATTTGTTTGTTTAATTCATATCGTTAAATTGTTATGGCAATATAATTAGTAAAGAAAACACTTGGAATAGAAGCATTTATTTTGGTATCAATGATAGTTTAGATTTTATTTTTAAATGTTCTGTTTTCACTTTAATTTTTGTTAGTTTTAGGAATTTTATGTTTTTGTTTTGTATGCCTATATAGTAATTGTTTTTATTAATTTTACTTTATTTAGTTTTTATTATTTTAGAACTTAAACTAAACAAAAAATTAGAAATGTTGCCTTTGCAACTAGCTGAAATCAAATAAGTGCTTTTTTAAAAATATTTTAATTTATTTCCATAATGTTAATTTTTGTTCAAGTAATGAAAATGTTGATTTACACAAGGCTTGTGATTTACACAATGGCATCTGATAGTGTCTTTTTTTTTTTTTAATATCCCTTATTTTATTTATTTCTTGATAGGCTTTTGAAGTTGAATCGAGCACAAAAGCCAAAGATTTCTGTCTGAACATCGCTGGCAAAATGATGCTCCAGTCTTCTGAAGGCTTCAGCTTGTTTGTCAAAATATCTGACAAGGTGAGACTACGGAGCTGTCAAGTGTCTGTTCAGATGAGATGAAGGTGTTCTGTGTGAATTTATGTCACACTAAATATCTCAAAGGGGATTTTTTACGTTACAGCTTTCTCCGGGACTACATGTCCTGTAGTCAGTTATTTTAATGTAAGACGTCTTATTTGACATATCAGTATTGGGTTAAATGTTTCAGGTGATCAGTGTGCCAGAAGGAGATTTCTTCTTTGACTTTGTTCGACATCTAACAGACTGGATCAAAAAAGCCAGAGCTGTGAAAGATGGTGATTATGTGTATTGTTCATTAAAATGATCAATATATTGAGTGTAAACATGAGGGTTCTTAATGATTCTGTTGGTTCTGTAGGCACAGTGCCTTCACTGACCTACCAAGTGTTTTTCATGAAGAAACTGTGGACCAGCACCGTTCCAGGCAAAGATCCCATGGCCGACTCCATTTTTCATTACTTCCAGGTCGAAAACTCTCTCTTTGTACTCAATCTGTGAATTCAAGCTCTTTTTTTAAACACTTTGTGTGATGCTCTATCTACTTCCATTTTCCTACATTTTCTTCAGGAGCTCCCAAAGTATCAGCGTGGCTACCACAAGTGCTCTCTTGAAGAGGCGTTCCAGCTGGCTGCACTCATTTACAGAGTGAGGTTTGAGGAGGACAAATCACAGTTTCATAACTTCACCAAGATGCTGAAGGAGCTGCTTCCTCAGGACATGGTGCATCAGCTGTCGCCCGACGACTGGAAACGGGTGAGAGCAGCACTAGTCCTGCTTCTTACATTCACTCATTCAAGTTAATGCAGTGAGTTTGTGTGTCTTTGTTTCTTCTCAGCCTGTCGTTACGTACTTCAATAAACATGCAGGGAAATCTCGAGAGGAAGCAAAAGTGATGTTTCTGGAAATCATTTACCAGTGGTCTACTTTTGGATCGGCATTTTTTGAAGTCAAGGCAAGTTTGTCAAAATATGATGCAATGTTGAATTACTAAATGGCAAATTTCTCAAATAAATAAATGCTGTGTGAACAAAACGACATTGTCCTTGTAGTATAGTTGTAGGAGTTCTCCAGGAGAGGTGGGGGGATGGGAAGCAAGAATTAGATTTGTTCTGCTTTGTAAATTGAAGTGACGTGGTTTGATGATTTTTTATTTTCTCCCACAGCAATCCTCAGATCCAAATTTCCCAGAAGTCCTCTTGATAGCGATCAACAAGCATGGTGTTACTCTCGTTGACCCAAAAACTAAGGTAGGTTTACACACTGGCCAGAACAATGTAATGTATGTGGGACGAGTGGGGGCGGGGCCGAGAGCCGTGGGAGGCGGGAGGAGTAATTGATAATGAGCGACACCTGCACCACTCACCGGTCTCGAGTCCCACGGAGGAGCTCCGGAAGGATAAAAGGAGGAGTGACGACAGTGAAAGACGAGAGAGGACCAGGCCTGGACTTTATTTTGTGTTTTGGTTCTGTTTGTGGGCGACAGTCTCGCTATTTTGTGTTTATTTTATTATTAAAGTTTTCTTTAAATGTTCACCGGTTCCCGCCTCCTTCTTCCCGTGACTACGAACGTTGTTACATTAGGGCTGGACAATAATTCAATATCAATATGTATCGCGATATAATTTTTTTCAATAACGGTGATATGATTTTTAAACACATTTCCGATATTTCGATATGCATTACCAGTGTTTCCCATACATTGATTTATTTGTGGCGTTTGACTTCGTTGAATAAACATGAGCACTGCACGTTTCAAAATCAAAACGCGTCGCGGGTGTTTTATATGAATGTATCTCTGAAGGGAACCGACTGTCTTCAGAATAGTTTAGATGGCATTTTTATCTGATAAAGTAGCGTTCATGAGTGGAGCTGCTTTGTTTACAGCCATTACTGGAGAAACCGTTAGTTCCACCGCTCTCACAGCGCCTCCTGCTGGCAGACAAACCTACTTCACATGATTCTCGGTCAGTTGCTTGATGATCTGACAGAAGATTTCGTCCTTCAGAGGTTCAGCCTTTAAAGCTCCCTCAAAGATCTGATCAGTGAGCTCATTGACTGAGCGGCTTCTCTTCGAGGGGTAGTCGCCCATGTACTTCATGATAGGTACAACAGAGTCAAGGATGAGGGAACTGCAGTTCTAAAGTTAACACTATTAACTGTCAAAATGTTAGCTGTAGAGGATATCAATGAAGGCCTGGCAGGCATCCTGGGACAGCTCTTCATGATTGAGGACTTTCTTCAGCAACATGCTTTTGTTGTTGCTCTATTTTTTTGTTTTCTGAAGCAACTCGGAGCATGTTTCATACTCGTTATCCTGGTTAATGCACGTTTCAATCTATAAGAATAATCAGCCTACACTACCAGTCAAAGGTTTTTGAACTGCAAGATTTTTAATGATTTGAATATATTTTAAAATGTAATTTATTCATGTGATCAAAGCTAAATTTTCAGCATCATATTAGGCCTACTCCAGTCTTCAGTGTCACATGATCCTTCAGCAATAATTTTAATATGCTGATTTGCTGATTATCAATATTTAAAACAGTTGAGTAATTTTTTTCAGGATTCTTTGATGAATAGAAAGATCCAAAGATCAGCATTTATCTGAAATAAAAAGCTTTTGTAACATTATACACTATACCATTCAAAAGCTCTTTTTAAAATTTATATTATAGAAATTAATATTTTCATTTAGCAAGGATGTTTTAAATTGATCAAAAGTGATGATAAAGACATTTATAATGTTACAAAAGATTTCTATTTCAGATAAATGCTGTCCTTCTGAACTTTCTATTCATCAAAGAAACTTGAAAAAAATCTACTCTGCTCTTTTCAATATCATAATAAATGTTTTTTGAGCAGCATGAGATATATATTTTGAGAGCATTTTTCATAAGTTTGTAGGTACAGACATCTGTTGTGGCCGTTCTTGGCCATTTTTATGAGGCTTTTTTAATAGTGTTCATATCGATATCGGAATTATATCGTATCGACCAAAATTAAGAAATATATCGTGATATAAATTTTGGCCATATCGTCCAGCCCTAGTTGTGGCCGTTCTTGGCCATTTTTATGAGGCTTTTTTAATAGTGTTCATATCGATATCGGAATTATATCGTATCGACCAAAATTAAGAAATATATCGTGATATAAATCTTGGCCATATCGTCCAGCCCTATGTTACATTATCAATTACTCCACCGGCCTCGCTCCGTTCCCACGGCTCTCGGCCCTGCCCCCACTCGTCACAGTATGTAAATAGCTAAACTACTGTACAAACTTTACTGTGTGTGCTACTGTTCAAATTTGGGCTTGGCAAGATTTTCTAATGTTTTTGAAAAAAAAAACATTAGAATCACTAATGACACTAAAAACACTCTTGTACTTTCCAAGGCTGCATTTGTTTGATCAAAAATACAGTCAAATCTGTAATATTGTGAAAGATGAATTCTATTTGAATGCATTTTAAAATGTAATTTATTCCTGTGATGGCAAAGCTGAATTTCCATCAGCCTTTACTCAAATCTTCAGTGTGACATGCTGATTTGGTCCTCAAGAAACATTTCTTATGATTATGTTGAAAATAGTTGTCGCTTAATGTTTTTGTGGAAACTGTGATACATTTTTCAGGATTCATTTGATTTTTTGTAACGGTGTAAAAATCTTTGCTTTAATGCGTCTTTACTGAATAAATGTATATTTTTACTAAAAAAAAATAGTAACCCCAAATCTGCAAACTTTTAAAAGGTAGTGTTTTATTTTAGCCTTTTAGCATTCATATTTAAATGCTATGTTATACTTACCTTGCAGTTACATAAAGAAAGACTACAGCGAAGTAGCCCGTTTTGGAAGTGCTTTTTGAGTCAAAAATTTTTATTAGATCCTTATTTAAAAATCTCAGAATAATGTTTGAATGGCATTTACTCATCTGTCCACAGGACATATTGGGCACACACCCCTTCACCAAAATCTCGAACTGGAGTAGTGGACATACCTATTTCCACATTACCATTGGTAACCTGGTTAGAGGGAATAAACTGCTGTGTGAGACTTCACTGGTGAGTCACACCTTACATAAAATACTGTGGTGGTACCATAGAACAGTGATGTTATCAGATTGTAATACCATGGTGCTTTGGTGACAGAAATGCACCAGCTATTCCTTTATAAAAGGTACTTAACTGTGCAGCTTACTTTATCAACTGACTTTATTTATTATTCTCAGGGATACAAGATGGATGATCTTCTCACGTCTTACATCAGTCAGATGTTGACGACCATGACCAAGCAGCACAGTTCACGTGTAAATAACAAGTAACATGCAAGGCTTATAATAGTGCACTGTTTATTTATAAGCACACAGACTCAGTTCTGACTTTATCCTAGATCCATCATTTTGATACATGAAGACGAACTGAATCTGCTTTTAGTGTTGTTACTTTTTCATACTGGAGCCTTAATTGTAAATTGGGAGTTTAATTTATGTTATAGCATTTCACAGTCTTTTAATGTCAATGAAGAACATGTTTAATTGACAGTCAAAAAAAACGTGTTGCCTTGAAGTTTTAGGCCCTCATATGGTTTTACTCTGATATCAAATTGAAAGTCTATTAAGTCAGATCAAGTTCATGATTTCAGCTAATTTGTGAATGATTTGCACATCTCATTTTGCCAGTTAAATGCATCATAAGGATTTAGAATGTTGCAGAATTTGGTTTTGCCCTTTAGCTTAAAGACTTACCAGATTCTCCTCCTGGTCATAACCTCCATGTCATGTTTTGACCTCTAGGTGACTACTTATATAAATTAATGTCAGTGACTACAACATTTAATTCAGTCTAAAAAGATATTCTTTAAATTTTTCTCAATAGTATTTCTTTATTACCTTTGTAAATGCTTGACCAGGTGATGCGTATTAAAATGTATTTTATAAATTAAAAGATCAGTTATGTGACTACAATCATTATCATTTCTACACAAGATATTTAGGATAAATCTTTAGGCATTGTCCAATTGATTTATTCTTTTTTGTTTAGAATGTGTTTGTAGGTTGTAATTCTGGTCATTCCAATTTTCTTGTGTTGGAAGCTGCTATTTATAAATAAAACAATAATATGAGATACCTTGGTTATTTTAATGAGATTAATGACACATTTGTTATCATATTTGATCAATGATTTATGATCATATGACCAATTATATAACAGATCCTTTGAATGCAACACGTGTGACATGAACCCCTTTATTTAGTTATAAAATAGGTCTAGTTACGAATGACTCCCATTTTTTTAGTGAGTTATTTTAATATTGTTCATATATTGTGATAGTATTAATTTATATTTAATTTTTTAACATTTTATTTTAGTAATTTTGTGTTTTTGTGAGTTTTTTTTATTTTAGTAATTTTTTTTTCCAGTTTTAATTGTAGTCATTTTAATACTTCAGCTTTAACTTATTTTCAGTAAGTTTCGTTTTTCAAGTAATATTTTTATTTTTATTTTGCTTAATTTCAATTAACGAAAATTATTTTTAATAGGCTTACATAACACTATTGGTAGTTTGTGTAAAATATTGTAGTTTCTTGCAAAACTCAATGTAAAACAATATGCTCTTGCCAGAATTTAATCAGACACAAGATTTATTTAAGTAGCGGATCCACTAATATTTCAGCGAAGGAAACATCAGTTTCATCGGCATGACAAATATTTCCATTCATGCTTGAAATGGAAACCTTTACAGTAGCATTGATAGAACCTGGGGCTTGTGAAAGGCAATAACTCAAATGACAATATAAAGTCTGAGGTGCAAGATTAGTCACTAGAATTTAGCATTTGTATCCTATCCTATCACATTAGGACAGCTACTTATCTGTCATTTTGTGACCAAACACTTACAATTTATAAAATGTAAGGATGATTTCAATGTACCACATAAACAGTAGTTTATACTGCTTAACTGAACATCAGTTAGAGATATTTTTTTAAAATAAGGGGTTAAATATGAACCAACACACTTCATCAGGCACTTCAAAGAGATGGTTCCTGCTTGTCAGAGTCACTCATGTTGGATAAAGACCACACATCATTCACCTCTGTTCATGGGAATGTGAAACAGGATCAGAATAATAGTCTTGAAGATTCAGATTAAAGGAACAGTTCACCCAAAAATGAAAATCTACTCACCCTTAGCCCATCCAAAATCCAGATTTGGAGAAATTTAACATTACATCACTCACTCACCAATAGGTCCGCTGCAGTGAATGGGTGCCGTCAGAATGAGAGTCCAAACAGCTGATTAAAGCATCACATTAAAGGGTTAGTTCACCCAAAAATGAAAATTAGCCTGTGTTTATACACCTAGGATGCTCACCCTCGAAGCATCCTAGGTGTATATGACTTTCTTCTTTAAGACGAATCCAATCGGAGTTATATCAAAAATTGTCCTGGCCCCTCCAAGCATTATCATTGCAGTAAGCAGGTGCTTTTGTGCAACAGTCCACAAGATGTGAAATAAAGTGTGCGCATCCATAATAAAACGTGACTCACACGGCTCCAGGGGGGGGGGTGAATAAAGGCCTGCTCATCTCTGTCATAGATGAAGTGTGAGAAAAGTGTTTATTACGTTACAAATACGGATATTTTTCTTACAAAAACGCATGGATTCGCTACAGGAGGCCTTTATTCACCCCCTGGAGCCTCACAGAAGGACCACCATTCAAGTGGAACTTAAATATGCCATGGAGGGATATATAAAAGATTTTAAAATAAATATTGTGGGTATTAATTTGGAAGCGAGGGTGCACAGATCACAATGCATGCGGGAGAAGCCTCACGTTACGGTCGTCACGATCACGGATGACAACATGCAGGATGAACACTGTTCATGTATCACAGGGTACGATTAAATTAATTTACATTTTACCAGTTTCATATGAAGAGATGCAGACCTTCGTTTATGTGTTTTTGGCCTACACTGTACAAGAAGCGAGAACAGCCCGCTATTTAGGTTTGTATGGACTCACTAACTTTAACGTTAGCTAGTTTTAGCCAGAGATACCTTGCTAAAGCACAAGATGACATTAACATTCTGCTTGAGCAGATGAAAATTGTAACTTAATGAGAGTATGACAACCAGAAAACAAACGTTTTTGTCTTCATTGGGATTGGGGGTGAATGCTTTGGGACATTTTGGTCCGTTTTGTTTGGGTTTTGGAAATAGAATAAAATCAATTCTATTGCCTATCCTCTCAGGATACCTGGAATCACTGTTACAAGTACCCCAGGCACATTGTTTTTCCATTTTTGAAGCATAAACCCCATAAAAACGATGCGAGCTTCGGATCTTCCAATGTTTCTCTATGGCGCTGAAAACTACAGATGTCCGAGTTCTGCTCCCCTTGCAACTGATACTCGACTGCCATTGACTCATCTGTGTTCGAGGGGAGGGGCTTACGGATAGGTCAATTCTGATGTAAGTTTTCAGACAAAAACATCTTGGACCTTGGACATCTTGGATGGCCTGAGGGTGACTAAATTTACAGCAACTTTTCATTTTTTGGGTGAACTATTCATTTAATTATTAAATTATTTGGTGATTTAAAAGATTAAATGCATCTTGTCCTGAACTGTCTGTAGCACCCATTTTCAAGTACTGAACTGCTGTCCACACTGAGAGCCAACCCACGTGCCCTCCACCTGCAAACACATTGACAGCCTACATAGTGTCTTTTGTATGGAGTACAGAGCAATTTCGGACTGCAGCTACATGTTCACTGTCACAGTGAGATGTGGTAAATTCTGTGCATAGACTCACCAGTGAAACACAAAGATAATCATGACAAGAATAAGGCAAGTGATGTCCACATAAGCCTGTACTCATCCGGCATCTGTGAGAGACAGAGAGGAAAGCCACAGGAAAAAACTCCAATAACAGGATGAAGACATCCCTGAGAACTGTAGATGTGTTTCATTTACCACGAGAAAGAGTGGTCTTTGAAGGTTTTTGAGGATGTGAACAGCATTAATATCGATAGAATGAGCCCCTGCACACCAGGCAAAAGAATACAGTCATGGCTCGCTGATCATGTACAGGTTGGTGCTGATGTTAGCAGCAGCGTATTTTCTGTAATCAATAAAAATCACACACTTTATCCCATATATAAATATATATGCATTAGGTTGGATTTATTTGATCATGTAGGATTAGTGCTGGTATCACGTTTTTTTTAGGATTCTGACAGTTTCACAGTTTATCTCAGTTTTTCCCTGTGTTTCTTTTATATGAATCAGAAAGCAAGAAGACCACTGCATTTTAATCACGATCCAAACAAACATGCTACATAAAGCATGAGCTGTTTTTGATGTAAATTAGATTTCATAATTTCAAAATCTGATGCAAAAACAGAATGGTCTGACCTTAGCTTTGTGAAATTATGCTACATAAAATATGCATGAAACAAAAACAGCAAACGGGCTTAATGAGAACCAAAGACGTTTCAAAGATGGCCGCCGAGTGACATGACAATTACTTGAAGTCCATGAAATCAAAATGTTTTGGGTGTTAGTATCAATATGTTAGTCTTAAGGTTATCTATAAGGCAGTGTGCTCCAAAACAGTGACAAAATTCGCATTTAGAAGATATTCAAAACTTTTAGTTCATCACTTCCTCCAAAACGGCTCAATGATTTTTTTGACGTCACATCATACTTCATCTTCTCATCAAAACTTCTGACCAATCAGACGCTCTCTAGAAGCCGAGGCGCCCGCCCCCTACACTATAAGATCGGTCGCTTGTTCACAGTGTTTTCTGTACAGTGAATGGCACATAGTGTACAATGTAGGTGATAGGGAACAATTCAGATAGTGTAAATATGCTTTCGATTGGGGCAAATGAGGTCTGGTTTCACGTTGTCACGCAAACCGCGGCAGCGTGCACAGTCTGATCCGGAGGTCCAGAGACGCGATCTCATGGAGCGGATCATATGCGCGAGTTGGCATATATTAAACACTTTTAAAACTACACAGCCTCCGCATGCTTATGATCACTATTTTGTTTTACTAAGAGTTTCATATTGAATCTAGGGGGTAATCTATTAGACTGTGGCTGTCAAATTAGTGTGTGGGTCGTTCTTGAACGAATCTTTAATGTGACTCAGGAAGAACGAGTCGTCTCGGGGAGTGATTGGTTGAGTCGCGCATGCACAACATCCTATAGGTTCTGTACTGGAATTAGTCGAGTAGTTCACCTGTTTCGAGTCTTCGGGTTTTTCCGAGTCGTTCGTTCATCACGTGACAGACCCATAATCTTACCCAATGCAGTCTGAGCCAAAAGAGAATTGATTAGTTCATCTCGAGTCTTCGGGTTTTTCCGAGTCGTTCGTTCATCACGTGACATCCCCATAAGCCCAAACCCAAAGACTTATAAGATAAGTCAGATAAGAGGTGAGGTGAGCTAATCATAGACTGAAGACCCAGGTAAACAATGAATTAATCTTTTCTGTTTCTTATAGCAGTTTTTATTGTTTGTAGTGTGATCAACGTTTGTGTAAGTAGTAGACGTATTAGGGAAGTAACATAACATTTTAATTATATTTTGCTATGAACGAAATGACTTGAAAAAGGATTCGTTCATTTTGCTGAACAAGACTCAAAGGTCCGAGTCGGTAAAATGATCCGAACTTCCCATCACTATGTCAAATGCGGCTTTACCGAGCTCAACGGCTCTGACCTGTGCAGTCTGCACAGTGCAGATATAAACAAAACGCTATTGGCTAATTTTAAAAGGGGGCGGGGCTAATCGATATGTCCCGCCCTGTTTTCCTGTTTCAGTTGAAATTACATCACCACATAGAATAAAGCTGTGTTTGAAGGCACTTCAGGGGACCTTTAAAGGGACTTTGATGAGAAGCAAATTCACTCTCTGACAGCAGGTGGGTTTATGGAGCAGCAGCGATATAGCGTTTTCTTGGTTACTGCTGTAAACAAAGCAGCTGCTGCACTTTTAAATACTAGGCTACATTAATATTAGCCTTGAAGGGACTTTTGACAGAATATAGATGCATTATTAATAAAATAGGCTTTCTTTGGAGTTAAAGAATTGACCTAATAGTGACATCGGTCTCCAGACCATCGGCTCCAGCTGCCAATGCCTTCTCAAAAGACGTGTAGGTGTTTTCGGGGGCAAGCTGAAAGAAGATACAACAAAGGATTTGCTTTTTTCAGTCTGCACATGGTACATTGCATGTCTGCTAAATCCTTTAGTGCCACAGTGTTGATATAATTGTTTGAGAAATATTGAACTACAAGAAAAAACGCTGGTCAATTTAGAGATTTTGTGTTATTTACCTACTTGCATCTGTAGATTTCATTTACAATACAAATCTTTAAAGGCTGTTTTCTCAAAATTAGTTTTTCTCTTGCATTGAAGCCATAAGTCCCCACTTCAGCAACACTTTTACATAAACCAGATTTTTATAGTTTTACTTCTATGTATACTCTGAAGGTTTTTACAGAGGGGTTTGTTCCTATATCATTTTCTCGATTTTATGCAAACACTTTACTCCTACAACAACATATTTTTCTTCTGGTTGTTGACAGTATTTTCTAATTTATGGAGCGATAAAAGGAGATATCCAAAATAACCTTTAACTCTAACATGTCATCAAAATGTGATACAAATTTTGAACCTGGCTTTATCCAATGTTCAGATTTCTGTTCTGGAAATGTATGTAAATGAGTGCACATTTTATAAGATAATTCCTAATTTGCATCTTTAAACATAACATTTTCAAAAACTTGTAATAAATGTTTGCAATTCTTAATGCAATCGATTAAACTGAGAAGTATGGTGATATCTTACCCTATTCACTTGGGGTATCTTTCTTAAACTATAAATGAAGAAAGCATATCAATACAGAAAAAAAGGTTGGTGCTTGGACCTGAAAAGCCTAAGAAGAAGAATGAAGTGTACCATTGGTGCTCCCGTGTCCAATTAAAGCAGGAGCTGATCCCAGATTGCTCCTCTCTTTAATGCAGGGGGAGTACATGCAGAGGAACCAGGTACAGAGTCACTAGAACTGTTATATACAGCACCATGATGGTCATCCGTCTCATTGAAACAGACACAGGCAGAGAATTCACTGTAAGAATATGCACTTTCTGTGACATAAGATGCATCAGGGTGGTGCAAAATAAAGTAAAAAGTATATTTCCTTTTGGATATTGGAAATGTGCTTAAAAAAAAAACTCATCCTTACCTCTCATACTGATACGGAAGACATGCAAGGCTATTGGCCAAGATAATAGAGTCATTAAAACTACACCACCTATGTGTAGATATGGAGCAGTTACCTGACAAATAGACATTTGATAGTAAACATGCCTGAAAAGATAAAAGTACAGTCATCCATTTCTTGCTCCATAAATCTGTGAGAACAGATGAGGCCACAATGGAGAGAATCAAAGTCACTGAGATCCCAATCTATCAAAAGAGACACCATCAATTCTCATACTCAGACTTTCAGTTGTTACATAGACGAGATGTGGATGAAATTATTACCTTGTGACACCAATGTAAATATAACCTCTGGCCTTCAGAGAGAAGACAAACTGCCAACAGCTGTGAATGTAAGCACATTTCATACCAGCAAATTATCGGATGGACATTTTAGTAACTTGTTAATGAGACTTTAGGCATAAAAGCAAAAGAAAACCACACTGACAACAATGATACAATAAGTACATTTAATCCGCCACAATGGAGAACATTAATCTATTTAACAAAAGTGATTTCTTAACTGTGGGGTTGGTTTTCTAAGAAAAAAAACATTAAAACAGTGGTTATGAGAATGAACATTCTTACAACACATACCAGCAGAACAGCAACATAAGTGAACAAAAAAAACAGCAAGAATCAACAAAACTATGGACCATGGAACCCAGAAACCCAGATTACCAAAATTAAGCCTGGAGGTAAAGCAGAAGAAATATTACTTAGTGTATTATTAAAGGTCCCATATTGTCAAAACTGAAATTTCCTGGCTTTTTTCATGATAACTGATGTCTAGGTGCTATGTAACTACCATATAAGTTTCAAAACAGTCAATCCACAGTCAAATGCACACAGCCTGCATAAAGTAGCTGTGATTTTTCACGAACCATTGTGACTTCCGTAAAAAGGTAACGTCAGAACTACTCGGTCACTATGGCAAGCCCTTTTAGCATTTAAAAGTTTGTTTTGACTATCCATAAATATAATTTAAGATAGGAACAATTGTATTTTGACGAGTCATAATTATAATTCGACTAGTCACAATGACAATTAGAGATATCTGCAATTATAATTGCACTAGTAAGAAATCGGATTAGAGATATCTCTAAATACTTTATGACTAGTCAAAACTCCATTGAAGATATCTGTAATGACATCATAGATATCTTCAATAGGGCGTCACACATCTGCAAAGGTAATTAGAGATATGGCCGGACAACATTCCCTCAGCAGTGACCATCATTACCGGTGTTTCTATTGACCTTATTTGTGAGTATCACCATCCACAGCAGGCTACAGCATACATGACCCTAGTTACCTGTGATTGGCCTGGCCGTGTGTCACTCAGAAAACAACAGGTCAATCAGAAAAGAGGCTCATGAATATTAATTAGACAGGACAAATTCGACCTGTTCTTTGCAGAGCTCCTTAGAGAGGAGCTGTAAAAATATATTGAGATGGTTTTTGGTACTTATACCACAAATATATATTCTTAAGGACATCAAGACTTAAAATAAAACTCCAGAAAGGTGTAAAATATGTGACCTTTAAATGTACATTGTATAAATATACATAAAATATTATTTTGTGTATTCCAGTTAAGCTACCTAAGTGGAGATATCTTTATAAAATTAACAATGCCATTGTTGTTATATCTATTCAACTATTAAATAAATGTTCCAGATTGAAAACAATTTAAAATTAACAGTAATGAACAATGGAGGTCAATAAAATATGTAAAAATGTATCTTTTATGTATGACACAAACCAGTCAAAGTCATTGTAGTCATTCCCAGCTTCACTCCAGAAGTACAGGAACACCAGAGACAGGGCCTTTCGCACCGCTTTAGTTCCAGAACTAAATGTACAGTACAATTATACACACATTTATTTATTTATTTGCATATTTATTTATTTATTTATTGTTTTTGCCGGTTTCGTCCTCCATATGCATGGAGACACATTTTGAATAATTGATAAATCAATATGAATAATCAATTTAGCAATGTGTGATTTTTTTTAAATAAACAATTATATTAGTCTATATAAGTAAATCGAATGCAACATATAAGTCTAAATAAAAATAGAAACTCCTGATAGCAATTATTTGAGCCTCCTATAAGTCACTGTGTCAGATGCGAAAGGCTACTAGAAAAGGGGAAGGGGTTGGGTTATAAACTGTCTGCAGAGTTCAGTGTAGTTCACTGTCATTGGCAAGAACTCTCGTCCATCCTGTTGGGCAGTTATCCAAAGTACCTATCTAATCTAAACAAGAAGTTTTTAGAATTAGAGAGCTTGCCTTCCCGAACTTTCCGTCCGCCTACTTTATTTGACACTTTGAATTTCAAGCTCAAGTTTTCCTTCCAAGCAAGGAAGAAGGAATAAGATACAAGAAGATAGGTTACAGTTCATAACGCACAATCCCCACCTCATTCGTCAGCAATTACACTTTTTTTTAGCTTGAACAATAAACATACAATAATATCTTGTAAGAAAAGAGCTGGGGGATACGTTACACAACTTATAGAGTTCAGCATAAATTATAACACATGAAGCATTTTTTGAAATCGATACAAAAATATATATATAGTGTCAACAACTATGGAAAAGCCAACAATATGATGGGTTTAATTATTGGAATTACTTTATGAAATGCACGGTGTATTACCGTACTGGTTATCAGATTCTAGAAGCCTTAGTGCAAACGGGTAAAAGGTTGAGATAGAAATCTAAACTTCACACTGGGCAACAAGTAAAGACTGGGCACACTAGCATACAAAAACTCTATACAAATCCACGCCCACCGAGTCAGCGCTACGTGCTTTAAAGATGGCGGCATGTGTGAGTGTGGGATCTGATGTTTGTATTAGCCTCAAGTTTGTGATTTGAAGTTCTGTATTTAGGCAGACGCTAAACGTCAGGTTTCCGTAGATCGCTTAGACTCGCGCTCTCCGTCGTTCAGATGTGTGAGGGCAGATAGACGGGGATGTGATCGCTCACTGCGCTTGGAGAGGTAGAGTTGGTTGACCTGCTAAAACTGACAGCTGTAATCAGCTAGCTGTTCACGTACACTTAAGGGCATCGTGCACGAAACCTTCAGCAAATGTGACCTGTGCTTCCAACACTACGTAGCCAGCGGGTGATAACCTGCTAGTCAGAACCACAGCCTTAGCAGCTCTAGTCACACGTGTAGAAAGTAAGATTAGGTGCTTTGCCATTGTCAGCAGGTGACCTGTCAGTCACTGAATGCTTCTGGTTCCATTGACTACATTAACACCTTACGACCCCATATATATATATATATATATATATATAAATCAGTCTTGTGTGTTTAGTTTAGTTGAGTTTACAATGCTTTTATTTACTTTGCCAAGCACCTGCAGCATTTTAAAGCCCGTAAAGCCATTTGAATGAATTTCTCGTGGTAAGTTAGTAGTTTTGCCTGGTGGTCTGGCTCTCTGGACAGGACAGGATTTAAGCCTTGAATGACTGAAACTTTTCATGCTGTAATTCATTTTTTGGTTTCTGGTTATTTTTCCAATATTATTTTGCGGTAGTAGAATGCTATCCCGAGCTTTAAGGAAATCCCTTTCCAATGGAAATCCACTAGTGGCGCGTTTCACGGGGAGCTATTGTAGTCGTCTGTGTTTTCATCAGACCGCCGCGTGTAAAGTTGCTTCGCAAGCTGAACGTGGCTTCAAACCTGCGAAGGTGGCTGTTGTGACTAAAACCACACGATATGAATTCGAGCAGCAGAGATATCGCTATGCGGGACTGTCGGAGGAGGATCTCAAACAGCTGGTAAGCAGACACTTGTGAAGAGGTGAATGCACCTGTTCATCTCTGTGCATTGATCAGATACACCGGTTTGTCTTGTTACAGTGCTTTTAAGGCATGTGCTGTATCAAAATAGACGTAATGTTTCCATCAAAGGATTCCATCTTTTTGTACTTATTTATCAATTCAAACCCTCTAAAAACCCAAATGAAGGTTGGCCTGCAAGTTGACGTCACAGTTCTATATATTCTGATTGTTCTTTCAGATTTTTTTGTGTGTAATAGTATTCATAGTGTAATAGCTTTAGGTAGGTACAGTATGCATTTTTATTGTTATAAATGTAAGTGGAAAAATAAGAAATGTTGGATTAACATTTGCAAAATGCTCATTATTCAAAATCTATATACAGGACGGTGATGTCACTGTAATATTTGCATACTGAAAGGTGACCCCACCCACTTTTCCAGCAGCCATGGTTTAGGAATTATTTATCCTGCTCATTTTTCCCATGGGGATTTACAAAAATGTATTTTTAAAGAGTTTTATACCATGAAGCAACCAGTTTACAGACTTTGATTTGAAGCAAAAACGTATTACAGTCTACAGTCCCATGAAGCATTGCAAATAGCAATCTAACTAAAAACGATGCAGAAATATGAAACTATTGACATTCACTGCAAAATATGCATAATATGCATATAAATAGTTAAGTAGTTTGAGTGCTTATGAAAACTGACTGCTGAACTCAGAACCGCCCCCTAGCATTCTAGTCTTGCTGTTTTTACATCTTTTTATGGCAGAAATAGTAGTAGTACACTTTTATGCATTTTTCACCAAGAATTCCACTGTTAAACATGATTATTAAAAGAATTACGTTGAAATAATGCAGGCTGATGGCATAACCGATGATATTTGATCAACAAAAGCAAATATCATCGGTTAACAACCTCATAGCTCACAGTAGATCTGTCGTTATAGGTTTACACATTATCTTTAGAATTTATTCCCATAAGGAGAAAATGAATCGCAGTTTTACTATGAGACCTGACCGTTCCACACTATTCTGTGTAGTGTGTTTGTTTATAAATTGTGAGTGCAAATTTCCATAATTGGGAAGAATCTCTCTCTCCCTCTCCCTCTCCCTCTCTCTCTCTCTCTCTCTCTCTCTCTCTCTCTCCATGCCTTCTCTTGCGTCACCCCTCCCTCTAAAATTGTGAGTCCATAATTGGGAAGAATCTCTCTCTCCCTCTCCCTCTCCCTCTCCCTCTCTCTCTCTCTCTCTCTCTCTCTCTCTCTCCATGCCTTCTCTTGCGTCACCCCTCCCTCTATCTAAATTTGGATTTACTTAAGATATTTATATTTGGATGTTAGATATAAATATTTTCATAAAATATTTATATTTGGATGTATTGAAGGGTTAACTTGGTAAACTATAATTTAATCTAATACTTTTGACTTCTCTGCTGTTTTCTTACTTGACGGTGTTTTATAGAAAACTTATATTTCTCAATAAAAGAAATCAGTTAAGTCAGTAACCTTCCTTTTCTGCTTGTACTATTGTCAGTTTGATTCAGCAGCAAGAAAAATGGGCTTAAGTATTTAAAAGGCCGCCAACAATGCCTAGTCCAAATCCAACTAACACCCCATTATACACAATGCGACAGTGTTTGTTTTTTAAGAAGCAGTACACTGTTTATGATATTTAATCTGTCTTCTACTTGTCATCACAGCTTGCCCTGAAAGGATCCAGTTACAATGGGCTTCTGGAGAGACACAATATACACACCTTCAATGTTGGACAGATTGTGGACAGCCTACAGTAAGATGATGATCAGAAATGGAAACTCTAACAGTATTTTAAGTCATTTTTAAACAATTTTCAAAACTGTCCTTTTATTTTTGTAGGAAAGAAGGGATTGAGGTGCACATTGTCAAAAGAGGCGAGTATGATGAGGACACAGTACGATGGGCCGATGCCATCATCTCTGCTGGAGGTAAAGCTCAGCAACTGTGCACCGGTTGACACATGAGAAATTTCATGTACTTCTTTTCTCTTTTGTAAATTTCTAACAGCCTTGTTTATGTCATAGGTGATGGCACCATGCTACTAGTTGCCAGTAAAGTGTATGATAAGAACAAACCTGTATTGGGGGTCAATACAGACCCAGAAAGGTAATAAAAGCTATCCTATAGTGAGTTGAAGTTTCTTGTTTGCTTTATAAATATATAATGTAGCTGTGTTTTTGTAGGTCAGAGGGTCACCTGTGTTTACCTGTGCACTATACACAGGCCTTTTCTGAGGCCTTACAGAAACTCAGGAAGGGTGAGTTCAGGTGGGTACCTCTTGTTTACTGTTGCTTACAGTCAGCAGTAATCCAATTTGCAGTCAGTTGTTTTCTTCCACATCTCTTGCAGAAGTACTCCGCAAAAGCACTTTGCCCTCTTGTAAAGAAGTTCTAGTTCAAGTGAGCAATTCTTATTAAAATACGTTTGATATAGACTGTGTACCCCACTGGAAAGCTAATGTTACTAGCTAATAACTGTTTCTTATGGGATAAGGATTGATTTTCCTCTTGGGGGAGGTGCTTGGCAGCTCAGAAAGCCAAATCCTCCATTAAGCCGTATTCAAGTCTAGGGACGTTTTGTGTGTGTGTGTGTGTGTGTGTGTGTGTCAAAGAAATTTGTCTACTAAAATTATAGTTGAATATAACTGAATTAAATCTGATTATTAGTACCTGACATACAAATATAATCCACCCCAACCAACTATATAAAGTGATTAAATGTTTGTTAATGTTCTATGATGTATCCCTCTATGTCTTTCCTTTCTCTTTTTTATTTTTTTAAAAAAAGTAACTATCTTCGCTAGGTGGCAGTGGCGTCAGCGCATCCGTATGTACTTGGAAGGCACGGGGATCAACCCAACTCCAGTGGACCTGCATGAGCTGCAGCTGAGCCTCCAGCAGCACAGCAAGGCGCACCGCGTCACTACAGACACTCAGAGCAGTACGAATCATATTGTACTCATTACTATCTTACAACTTTCCTCTGTGCTGCTCTTCTGACTTCAGAGTCTTACAAATAATATCAAAAAATGTCTAGGTCATATTTCACAGCAAAAAAAGGAGAAAAGATGAATTTTATTACTGTATTACAATAATGAGAATGAGTAAAAAACGTGTAGTTGCATAAAAAATAATATTAAATATTATAATTAAATATTAAATGAAAATATAATTAAATATGATGTGCTGTTTTCATTTTTGTATTAAATTAATGAGTGAGATGCTTTTTCATTGAAATAGTAAGTGTTGGTGGACATGTGCTTATATTTTGTAGGAATTAAGTATTAAATTAACAGATTGAAAAAATTGGCTTAATTTTTGCAATTTAATTTGTGTGTGTGTGTGCGCTTTTTTTGAGGGTAAATATAACCTTGACATTTCTTTGTTCTCTCAACCAGGGTTATTATAGTTATATTTAGGGATGTAACGATTCACTCACGATTCAATTCGATTCATGATTCGATTCACAATTTGTTTTTAAGAAAATGAGATTTAAGACAAATTCTAAATTAAATGTGTCCTTTTATTATTGCTCGGACAAAAAATGTTCACGTTTCTTTCTGAAATTGAAATATAACACTATAATAATATACTAATATAGCACTTGCATATTATTGTTCTTTTGTTGGTTTTGATAGCTTCTATTGTCTTCATTTGTAAGTCGCTTTGGATAAAAGTGTCTGCTAAATGACTAAATTGAAATATAATGTAAATGTAAATGACAAAACTAAATAGAAATTTTAAAACAAGCCCCAAATCAAATAAATAACACAAATAAAATAAATCTCTTCATATAAACAAAATAAAGCTTTGTCTGTGCACTTTCCTTTTAAAACTAGAGGCTTACATGCAACATGAGCAGTTTTTATTCTAAATTACATTGTATAATTTCGAAATTTGAAGCAAAAAAACTGTGAGCAGATTCACTGTAAACAAAGCAGCGCTGCACTAATGAAAGTGAAAGTGACATGTGGCCAAGTATGGTGACCCATACTTGGAATTAGTGCTCTGCATTTAACCCATCCAAAGTGTACACACACACAGCAGTGAACACACACCCGGAGCAGTGAGCAGTCATTTATGCTGCGGCGCAGTTGGGGGTTCAGTGCTTTGCTCAAGGGTATTGAAGGTGGGAGAGAGAGCTGTACATTCACTCCCCCCACCTACAATCCCTGCCGGTACGAGACTCGAACCCGCAACCTTTGGGTTACGAGTCCGACTCTCTAACCATTAGGCCACGACTTCCCCTTTATGAACTTTAATATGCATTATACAGAGGCAAGATGAAAATAAAAAAATACCATCTAAACTTTTCTAAAGACCGTAAGTTCCCCTCAGAGATACAATCATATAAACTCCTACCCCTAATTGAATTGCGATTTGTTTAGCATCTCAACAGGTTTGAATCTTCACATATTTGAATCGATTTTCAACCAGCTCGCGGTTAATCGTTACATCCCTAAATTATGAAGAGATTTATTTTATTTGTGTTTTTTCATTTTTGGTTTTGAATCAATTTTTTTTAATTAATTTAATTTCACGTCGTTTTATTTTTTTTTTTCACTGTTCTTTTTTTTTTTTTTTTTTTTTTTTTTTTTATGTTTAATGCACCTGCATTGTTTCATAATAGTTTTATAAAATAGCATGTATCAAAAGTTTTACAAATGTTATTTAAAATAATTACTTTTATTTTACATTCCGGAGTCATTTTCCTGGTTAGGTGTTTTAATTTGTTAACAAGCACATTTTCACTTATGTTTGGTTTTATGTTAAAGGGATAGTTCACCTCAAAAATTTTTATTTTGTCATAATTTCCTCACCCTCATGTTCCAAACCAGTACAATTTTCTATCTTATCTTGAACACAAAAGAAGATATTTTAAAGAATCTTGAAAAACCAAACAGCTGTTGGTCCCTATAGACCAATTTGGTGTAGACGTCTCAGTTACGTCACTTGCAGCTGTGCGCGCATTGTGGTGGCAGAAAAACACAGGGAACAAATGGAGGGAAACGGGTAAAATCCATGGAATAAGAGAAAAAATTTATTGTTTGGATGTCCGAATCAGAATGCAAATAATTTTTATAGAATAATGTCATAAAAGATGCCATTTGAAGCTAAACGCAGACGTTTAAACAGACAAACTATGGATGAAACCTGCTACGATTACCCTACTTTTAAAGCATAAATTTGATTTAAACAATAGGTCTATATAATATTCACATAGGGGACATATTGTATTAGCCCTTCAGTTAAAGCATGAAATGCTATTTAAACGTATAACATTTTACATTACATTTAGCCTACCTATTTTATCTCACAATTCTGACTTTTTTTCTCACAAATGCAAGTTTAAATCTCCTAGTTCGGACTTTATAACTTGATTTACCTCAACAATTGCGAGTTTGCCAATTCTGAGGGGAAAAAAGCCAGAAGTGTGGGATATAAACTCATGATTCTGAGCCGAGGGGAAAAGAGAATGACGAGTTGATTTTTTTTTTTTTTTCTTATCAGAATTGTGAGAGATAATCTCGGAATTGCAAGAAAAAAAAGTCCGAATTTTGAAATAAAAACTCAAAATGTACCTTTTTTTATTATTTTATTCCACGGCTTCTGCCACCAAATAGACTCCGCCCACAAAAACGTCATCACTGTTTGCAAACACTGAAATTGGTCTATTGACTTCAATAGTACTGAAAGAAATACTGTGGAAGTCAATGGTGGGCCATCAACTGTTTGATTACCAGCATTCTTCAAAATATCGTCTTTCATGTTTACCATAAAAAAAGAAAATCATACAGGTTTGGAACGACGTGAGGAAATGACAATTTTAATTTTTTTAAGGTGAACTGTTCCTTTAAGTGCAGTAACGCTGCACACAGCTTTGATTACTTTGTAAGAAAGGTTTGCTCTGAACAAGTTTGTGTATTCTTTGTGTTCTACAGAAAGATAACAATGCTATCATATTTTTGTGACAGGTACAACACACAACAGTCCTGAAAGGCCTCACCTACTGCCTGTCCGAGGGCTCAATGAGATCTTCATTGGGGAGTCCCTGTCCTCCAGGTATATGTCCCTGCCCACCATTCTGTGACGATGTGGAACCAGTCGCACCCCTCGAACATTTCATCAACCACATGTCCTCCTTCACTCCATGCATCCCCCCATCTCCCCTTACTTGTGGATTTCTGTTTGCCACAGGTTGAAGTATAAATCCTTCAAACCCCATCTTACCCTCTCGCTTCATAGGGCTTCATACTACGAAATCTCCATCGACGACGGGCCGTGGGAGAAGCAGAAGAGCTCAGGGCTTAGCATTTGCACTGGAACCGGATCTAAAGCCTGGTGAGTCAGAGCGCTGCTTTAAAGAAAAGTGATCTTACAACACCTCATAAAAATGTCAAGAGATTACCAAATTATTTTTGTTCCTTCGTCCAGGTCCTACAATATTAATAAGCTTGTCGAGCAGGCAGTGGAGGATGTCCTCAGAATAGGTTAGAAACACAAAAACAAAAGTTATATATGTTAAATATATTCTGCATTACTTATGTTCTATGACAGAACAGTTTATAATCGTCAGCTACTACAAGCATGATCTTCATCTTTTCTGTATCTTAGGTCAATTAAAAACCGGTTTGGATGTTCCTCTAAATCGGGAGTTCATTGAGAGTGGTGAGTTCAAAATACAATCTTTTTTTTTTTTTTTTACAAGTATTAATAATCCGCTCATTAGTATTGCAAAGTACAAATGGCTTTTTTGTTCTGTTTAAATTGTAAAAATTTATATTCTGCGATTTAAATAACTGTTCCCTATTCTTGTGTTCAGTGATTGAAATAGATCATTTGTATTTTAAAATAACCTTTTTTTAAATTATTATTTATGTTTTTATCTGCAATTTAAACAGTTGGCTCCTATTTTGTGTGCAGTGACTGAAATATATTGTTTGTATTTTAAAATGGCTTTTCATTATTTTAATTCTGCTTAAATGTATAAAATTATATTAATATTCTGTACATTAAATAATTGGTCCCTATTTTGTGTTCAGTGACTGAAACATACAACGAATCCCTGATCTTCAGCCCAGAGGAGGACAAACTTTTCTTCAGTATAAGAGAGCCGATAGTCAACAGAGTATTTTCCAATAGCCGACAAAGAGGTTTTGCCAAAAAGTGAGTTTTAATTTCCATCTTCTCACAACTGTCGTGGTAAATGATTGGATAAGTAATAATAATGTAATGTTAATCTTGGTTTATAAAAACATTTTAAATTGTACAAACATGAACATTTTTAGACATAAATGCTGTAAAAAGGTTGCTTAATGCATTCGACATTATGAACTAACAGTAACTATTTCTCCACGTTTTTGATCAAACAAGGCTGAATACTGATGAAAATGCTGTGAAAACCTGCAGTGCTCATGGCTCTTGTTTTTGGTAGGGTTTGTGTCCGCTCAAGGTGTTGGGATGCCTGCATGGTGGTGGATGGTGGGACGTCCTTCGAGTTTAATGATGGTGCCATTGCTACAATCAGCTTAAATGAGGAGGACCTGTTGCGAACGGTCATTCTAGATGAAATCCTTTGATACATCAAACTCTGTTTATTGAGGACTGAATGATTGTCTTTAATGCCAGACTTTGACAGCAGGTTCTTTAAGCACTGAATTTTAAGGGATGATGGGGTTTGCAGAGGAAATGTAGTGTACTGGTATATATATCAGGATTTCACACTTATGTAGTCTGTGCTTAAACGACCTTCTTGGTTGCAGCCTTCAGAAATAACAAACACTTTTCCCCCAGATACACCAGCATTATATTGTCACATCTGTTGGTGTATATTTTAGAAATGTGATGCAGATTCATGCTTAAGCACATGTACTCAAACTTTTTTTTTTATTACTTTTGTGCCAAACATGCACAGAAGTATTTTGTAAATGTAGAAATCAAACATTTCTGAAACTGCAACCTGAAAAATATTTGATATTTTAATGTTTTTGAAGTACACAATAGGGCAAAAGTTTGGATGTGGAGTCAAACTCTACTCCATCAGGTCAAAACATTGTGCAGGCAGTGGTTTAAAACATGCCAGAAATTTGGAAAACCATTCTCAGGAACTTTGGTTGTTTAAAATGTCTGCATTCTTTTTTTTGGGAAAAACTCACATGGGGATGGCTTTAAATAAAACAATACATTTATTTACAATTCAGACAATGTAAACAATTCATTAAAAAACATGTCTAGCGACCACCGAAGTTGTACAAAATTCAAGTTTTCCAATATTAAAACTGGTCAGAAAAATGGAAGAGGTTCACATTCATTTCTCTGCTATAAAAGCACCTGGTTTAATGCTTTTGTATGGCAAAAGAATTTGGGAACAATATAAAATAATAATAAAACCATTTTTAATACTAACTTTGATAAACCTCTATAGTAAAACTGGAAATGTACTTGATCATTGCAGGAAAACAGATCTTGCGTGACAAACAGAAACATTATTATTCTAGTTTTCACCTGAAGTAACAAACATTTAAACTCACCATTTTCAAAATGATTAGCTATTGGTACGAAACATTTCAAATATCAAAATATACCACTAGCCAGCCTGTCCACTCTTCATCTCTTATTTTGTGGTCTTTGCTGCAATGTAACAAGAACGCCACTCCATTCAAGATTGTCAGGACCTCCAACACAATTGTCATCTTCACAACATTGAAACTGTAACAATTTAAAACGAGGACTTACCAGTGATGTTTTAAGATATTTTTAAAAATCACAAATAATTCTAAATGGGCACAATTGAGAGAGAGAGATATGGATTATTATAAAAGCTATTTTACAATTTGGTTTACCCTGTAATCATCCTGAATTAAAAACATCAATGTTTGTACACGAGGCGGCAGTGCATTCCCCAAAGTGTGCGATCCTTTCTTGATGCCGAGGTGGGACGTGCCACAGTGGAGAAAGGCTGCGTGTTGATCTGTATGTGCGGTAGACCTTTACAAAGAATGGGCAGGTAGCTGTCCTGTATAAGCCCGAAGACCTCCAGGGTCTGCAAATTTAGAAACTTTTCAAAATCACTGTAGAGAAAAAGAGAAGGAATATTTAGGGTTTGAATGCAGACACTATATAGAGATCAAAAGTGTTTATGTTTGTCTTGTCTTTCTGAATTCAACCACTCTCTTACATGAGTGAAGCTGGGTGGATCTGATAACAGCGGCTCAGTGCCAGATGTCTCAAGGAGGAAAGTTGCTGCAGGACTGGGAAACTGTCTGTCGTCACAAGCACGCTATCACTGTAATGATAAAAACACATAATTGAATGTGAACCTCCTGCTGTTTGCAATTAGGCATCTGATCCACAATCATCTTTTGAGTTAGGAACTTACCTCAAATCTAGATTTGTGAGGTTTGAACATCTATTTACTATAGCTTTAACATCTGAAACGCACACACAAAAATGCACTGTTGGTGCATGAAATGGTTACAAATGCATTTACATAAATCTGAATTCCTTGCTTTCCTTACCTTCCATTGTGAGGTTTTGTCTGTAACCACTGATGTTCAGTTGAGTGATGCTGGAGGGAACGTTGTTAGCAATAGCTTGAACATGGAGATTATTGAAGTCACACCATGACACATTCATTTCTTCAATTCTGGGGAAAGAAAGAAAATGATGGGCTTTAAAGGGTGTCATCATATGATTCATATAATTTTCTTTGATCTATGGAGGTAAAACACTTGATATACTATGAAAAGATACGGTCTCACTTTATATTAGGTGTCTTTACAACATACTCGCCTTAAATAAAATACATTTTCAGTACAATGTACTTGTCAAGAGTCATCTGTACAGTTACACTGGGGAACTGGGCATTGAAATGCTTGTGACGAGGCACAGACTTACAGTTATTTTAACAGGACTATACATATAGTAAACATGATCATATACAATTAGACATGTTGTATTGTATAATACTTTTGCCGCTATAGAGGTAGAATGCATTTACAGAAATTAATTACATGTAACTGCATGCAGATATTAAAAAATATAGTAGTAGAGTGTAAAAAACATACACAGTAAGTGCCCTCTATCAAATAATTGTGACAACACAGTACTTTAAAATAACTAGTTCTGACATTTTTGATGATGAATACATGCTCATCAAGTATTATATTTAAAAAAAATTAGTTGTCTTTGGCTGTACACCAACATTTAAAAGAAAGATTTTGTGTTTTTGAAAGTCTTGGAATACCTATCAAGGCTGCGCTTATTTGATCAAATGCAGTAAAAACTGTAAAATTGTGACATTTTATTACAATTAAAAAGAACTGACTTCTGCTTGAAAATGTTAAAATGTAATTTAATCTTATGATGGCAAAGCTGAATTTTCAGCAAACATTAAACTAGCCTTCACAGGGTTTCTGCAGACTTGAACAAGTTAAATTTAAGACCTTTTTAATACCACCTTATATGAAAGGTGACCTAAACCTGTAATGGATATACACACTTTATTGCATACATATACAGTGGGGCAAATAAGTATTTGATACACTGCCGATTTTTCAAGTTTTCCCCACTTACAAAGAATGGAGAGATCTGTAATTTTCATCGTAGGTACACCTCAACTGTGAGAGACCGAAAAAAAAAAAAAAATCCAGAAAATAACATTGTATATTTAATGTGTATAAATTAAAAAGAAAACATCAATGCTGTAATAAATGGTATTTATTACTATGATATACAGTGAACTTTTCATGTCAGCAGACAATATTCCATACAAAATAACTGCATCACTGAGATTTTTGGTGGAGTAAACAATTTATTCTGAAGCAATATTTTCATCAGTGTTCTATCAGCTTTTACATACTTAAATCTGCATATTTACCTTTACAAGGCCTATTTTTAACCTTTTTAGATGTATGCATCATCTTACATGTCAAATTATTACGAATTATCAATAAATTCAATATACACCATAGGGCTGCTACCAGTCAGATTAAATAATTTACACCGCAAATAACAATAATTACAACTGCAATAAATAATGTTATGAGATTAATGTTTTAAATGCATTTATGAATATACAAATAAGAAATGTTGAGGGGAAAAATGCATACTTTTCAACAAACTTCTCAACTGAACTACCAGTAAGTGACGGTAAGTCACTTAATGAGTGAGTCATTCATTCAACTGATTAAGTGTGTTATGCTGACATCTTAAGGACTTTCGTGGACAGCTGACTCCTAAAGTTTTTGATATTCTTCATATTCTGTGTGATGGTCAGAGAAGTTTAAATAGATTTTTTACCTTTTATGGGCATTTTACCTTTATAACGCCATTTTTCTATAAGTGTGCATTATCTTTTGAGTCAAATTCTTACATTTAATCAGTGAATAAGAAAGACATTTGGGCTGTTACCAAGGACCCGCGGACACCCTGCTTCAGTGTCACATGATTCTTCAGAAATCATTCTAATATGCTGATGTGGTGCTCAAGAAACATTGCTTATCATCAATGTTGAAACCAGTCATGCTGCTTGTTATTTCTCTGGAAACAGTGAAACATTTTTCTCAGGAACACAATTTTTATTTTGTATGGTATACAAAGTTAATCTTACCGAGTGCAAGATTTTAGCATCTCAGCCAGAGAATCAGCAGAGAAGCCAGAACAGCCACACAAATTCAGTCGGACAATTTCAGTATTTTGAGCCAGAGAACTGCAAGAGAACAAAATACAGGTTCAAGGTCTTCATATTTTCATATGTAAATTTGCAAAAAAAATAGTTAAATCTGCAGCTTTACATTCTGAAGGAATGTGAATGTTACCAGTGACTAATAACAATTAAAGAGCAGGTCATATGGGTTTTCGAAAAATATCTCTTTTGCAGTTTGTAAGGTAGCTATCCTTCAATGTAAACAGTAACATATTGTCTCTCAAAAGAAAGAGTCGACTCAGAATCGCCTTAACAAGTAGCTATATTTTCGAATCTTCTACCTGTTACCGATCTACGTCACTGGGTAACACATTAGCATAATCCCCGCCTGTCCACGAAATACATTACGAACACTCCGTGTCGAGAAGATGCTGTGTTCCACGATACCACAGCAATACAATTCAAACTTGTTGTTGTGCTCGTCATTTTACCGAGGACAGCTTCTCTAATCTTGCCTTTTATCTTCGTTGGCTTCTAATCTTCTTTATTCGGACCAACAACCTTCTCCGAACCACAAACTGTAAGTACGATTGATATGTTATTTGTACATTTTCAATTGAGTGCTTTTTTTTTGGGCTAATATGTGATCGCTACCTAGTGCAGCTTTAGGTTTCCAGGTAAAGCACGATATTACTGTCTTACTGAAATAGTTCTGGTAATTCGCTGTGAACCCACTATTTCCCAAGAATGTGTTGATTAATGTAGACTGTCGTTGTTCTAATTACTTCGTTTAATAAAAGAATGTAGTGTAGCGCACAGACTTTATAATCATTGTGAAAGTGCTGTTTATGTAGTTATAGGGTTAATGCAGGGAGTAAAAGACCTGGTAGAGAGAGACGAGTTAGTTAGGCTGGTGCACATGTGATACAGCTGTTCTGCGTTATAATTAAAGGTTAAGACAAGGACAAGGACAAAGGTTTGTCTGTCATTCTTCAGACATTACAGTAGACATATTTTGGTTTTCAAACTGTATTGTTTCATCAGTTAGTCACGTTAGCACAGGGCTTATGGAAGGGAGGGGTTTACAGACATTTAGCTCAGAACTGAATCGAACGAACCGTTTCAAAATCATGGACAAATGTCTATGTATAAATGTATATTCTGGGAAAAGTACAGTGTTTTCTGACCTTAGATGCATTTAAACCTGTTGTAGGGGACTCCAACACAATATTAGGACACTTTAAAAAAAAACACATGACCTGCTCTTAAAAAAAAAGAAAAAAAAGAAAAATTATTTCTATATAAAATGTGTAATTTCTACACTTTAGAAAATACATAAAATAGAAATATATGACATTATTATATATATATATATATGATATAATAATGACATATTTTATGAAACATATGACAGCTTGGAAGACAATCTGGTAAGATCTACTTGTTAGATTGAAAGAGCACAGGAAAACTGTCAACAGCAAGAGTAGTTTTCTCCATGTCTTTGAACACAAAAACTAAATGC